TCAGATCCCTGTCCTTAACTGTGTAAGCAACGTTAGCACGACTAACTGCTTCTAAGTGCATACAGCTGCAATGATTAATATTCTTTTGCTCACTTCTCTACAGCGGTTCTTCAGAACAAAACTGATGTGACCACAAAGAAATCTGGAGACTGGAACAGCCACAGAATTTAAAGTAGAATTAAAAGTCACAGAAATGCAAGCTCCGTCTCAGGAGTTCCTTAACAAAGCTATTTTTTGAGGCAAGTTACATCTTTTTCTACTAAACCATTATAAAAGTGAGAACAGGCAGACTGCTCAGCAAAATGTCCTGTTTGTCAGGATTGCTACATTGTTGCTTTTGCAGGCAAACTTTTTATGGCGCTGCTGACTGTTGTTACCAAGACAAATGGGGTTTGCCAAAGACAAATCTTTGCATGTTTCAAACTGCAGACATGCGCACCCAGACTCTCATCTCTGCAGATTATAAAACAAAGTGCAGCACATGCAGAACACATTTCTTCCCTAACTCCAGCCCCTCTGAGTCTACAGTGGGGTGGAGTAATGAGGTCACTTGGCAAGTGATTTGCATTAATTTATTTATTTGCCTACATCAGAAAAGCAGTCTTTCTCTGATGTAGGTCAGCCAGTGTTTGGAAATCACATTATGTAAGCCAGGAAACCCAAGTGTTTGGTTAAAATGGGCTTCCATCTGTAAAACACACCAAACAGATTCATATTAGCACATGTGGGCTAGACAGCTGTAGAAGGAATCTGGAAGCATTTCTACTCTGAACTGGCCAACTCCCATTCTCCACAATGGCTATCAAACACATTCTCTCTGAATGTTTGTAACGATCTCCAGATATTCTGGGCTACATTTATCTACATTTAAAGAGCTCAGGGATATAGCCTACGTTTATCATGTCCAAGGCCCAAGATTTCGTCTGCAGCACCATGAGAAAATTAAAAATAAAACTAATACCCCACTATTTACAAAGTTTTGAGACCATTATCCACCTTCACCCTGCAGACACTGTACTTACACAGTACACAGATGTACGCAGGCAAAACACCCATAAACATAAAATTAAACAAACAAAAACCCTCAAAAACCTACTTTCTAAATGAGATGAAGACAAAATACCATAGGTTATTTAGAGTAATTTGCTTTTGTGAAGATTAAAGCAGAGGAAACCTCATTATTAGTCCTATTAGAATTGTTCTGTTTGGGGAATTATCTCTTATTGTTAGCTTTTATTTCTGAAAGGCCAAATAACTTAGTTGCCTTTAGCCAGAGTAACTTTTAGCCTGGTCTGCCGGGACCCTATGCAAGAGCTCAGCCCACTTTTTATGCAATAAATGCATTTGTCAAACAAACATTTAATGAGATGCCACTCTTGGGCCAAGCACTGTGCTGGATGCTGCAGGGTGAGATGAAAGAACCTTGTCCTCAGAGCTTTCAGCCTATGGGAAAGACAAAACTAATCTACTCAGTGAGTTCAAGGCTAGCCTGGGCTCCATGACATTCTCTCTCCTCTCTCTCTCTCTCTCTCTCTCTCTCTCTCTCACACACACACACACACACACACACCCCAAACACAAAGTGTGCTGGGTACAAAGGTAGGGGAAATACCCAGAAGAGACAGCTAGACCAGATTTGGAGGCCGTGGGGATGAGGTGAGAATAAGGAAACTAAATTTTAGAGTGTAAACTGAGACCTGAAGTCTAAAGAAACATTAGACGAGCAAAATCCACAGTAGGAGGCAAGAACACTCCAAATTTGGGGCCAGCCTAGAGAAACAATAAAAAAAAAAAAAAAAAATCTGGCCTAAAGTTTCTTTCCAGAGTTAGATTTTCCTTCACAGGCTATTGGGTGTGGCCTCCTTACACAGACTCACTGAATTCCCATTTGGTGCAAGAAACACTACATGCAATTAAAATGGGCAGTTAAGTACACCCAGGGATTGTTTACTCCACTCCAATAACACCAGCCCACTGATCTGTCAGCCCATGGGTCTTTGGCTGTGACATCCATTGTGTTGTGCAAAACTAATCAGCCTGGCCCTGATAGACTGCTCACAACATTTGAAGTCACACATAGGGGGCTGGAGAGACGGCTTGTGGAGGGAGGGGTTGAATTGCTCTCCAGGAGGACCTGAGTGAGGTCCCCAATATCTTCATCAAGCTGTACCTCCAGCTCCAGGAGATCTGGCACTCCATGGGCATTTGAACTCACGTTACCCACAAACAATACCCACGTGGATATAACAAAATAATACATCTTTTTGAAAGATCAAATTTGTATGTAATTTTTTTTTTTTTTGGCAGGTTGCTATGGCTTTAAAACACTACTTTATAAAGTGGCCATGGTGGTACATACTTTTAATCATAGGACCCAGGAAGCTGAGGCAGGAGGATCATGGGTTCAAGGTCAGCTTGGGCTATACATCAAGACCCTGACTCAAACAAAACAAAACCAAAACCTATATTATAATAGAAAATTATACTTTTAAAGCGAAAGGGCCACAACAAAATCTTTAAAATACTGTTCAGAGCTGAGGCTGTGGCCCAGTGCTAGAGCACTTGTAAATCATGTGTGGGGGAATGTCCCGTCCCCATCCCCAAATGGTATTCCAGTACAGCATCCCAGACAGCCTACTGTGCTAAATGTACAGCACATGAAGCTCATTTCCCTCCAGCATAACCAGTGACCTGCTCTGGGACAGTTCATTCTGGATCCGAACTCCCCACAGTGTTAGGAGACTCACTCAACACCTGCCCTTTCCTCCAATCCCGGACCCCCTCCCCCCCACCGCAGTTCCATGAAAACAGACCTGCCCTGGCTAGACAGCTCCAGCTCCACTGTTCCCCAATTTCTAATTAAACAGAGCCCAAACAATACTTTTTCAGTGAAAAAAAAACAAAACAACTCAGCAACTCCAAAACTGCCCAAGGAATGTCCCACCCAGGCAAGCAAGCAGGCTTTGGCTGCACTCACCAGTCAGTAGCCGTGGCAAGCAGGTAGACTGTGAAAATGTTTTCCCTGGGTAGTTATGGTGCAGTGACAACAGCATTGTTTACTGTTCCTTAGTAATTAAATGTCACCTCAACAACCCAAACAAACCCAGGGTACCCTGCGGTGTGATTGTGTCATTTCTGCACCATGGTGCCCGACTTGACTTCCTCCCTTTATGAGCCTAGCATAGGAGGCAAGCCGAAGTCACTGCCACAGAGGCGGTAGCAAACTGGTTAGAACCTTCCAACTCGGTTACTAAGAATACGTCCATGGTAACTTGTGTTTTACCTTCTCTTTTCTGCTCAGATTCGAAAGCATTTAGAGCGGAGGTTCTCAACCTCCTAATGCTGTGGCCTTTAACACACTTCCTCATGTTGAGGCGACCCCAACCATAAAATTATTTTCGTTGCTTCTACCTAACTGTGATTTTGCTACTGTTATGAATCATAATGTAAATATATGTGTTTTCTATGTCCTTAGGCGATCACTTGTAGACCCTAAAAGGGGTCAGGACTCACAGGTTAGAAACTGATGATTTAGTTTCTCCTGAATGCCAACCCTGTGCTGGATGCTGCATTTCCTACAGCGTCCTAATGAAGCAGGGTTGGTAGTACCCCACTTACAGGGAAAACGGAGGCAGTGTGGAACCCTTGGCTTTACAGACTTCAGTGGAGACGGATTTTAAACCGAGTCTTTTTGCTGCTCTGAAATCCTGAGTGTTTCTTTACATTACACTCTGATGTGACAGTTCTCAATTCTTATTTGAGATAGTCAAGAATTTCTAAATGGCTAAAATTTTTGTATGGTAATTTGTTTTAGTAATGTTTTTTACTCTTTTTCCATGCTGGGAGCTGAGCCCAGGCCAAACCTTTACCACTGAGTCAAAAGTGTATGTTTCTATGCACCGTGATGCCATTTGTAAATGAAGCATGTCCAGCCCTTCCCTAAGTGCTCAGGAAACAGAAGCGCAGAGCTAAAGGGCTGTCTTATGGCCCTGGTTGGGAATTCCCATTCTTTCTAAATTGAATGATGGAGTTCAGTCTCGACTAGGAAGAGAAGCTGCTGGGGTGAGGTTGGAGTTCCGGCAGAGTACACTACCGACACTTGCGGGCCAGGAGCTGACAAGCTGCAGCAGGTGCACCGCTTAAAGCAGAAAGAGATACAGAGACTGCTCTGCTACGAAAGGTTGGTTCGCCATGCAGACCCCACAGCAAACTTCTCGTGGGATGGGTCTTCTAACCCCATACTCTTCACCGTGCAAATGAGTCAGTGTTCCTCTTCCCCAGAAGGTTCAGGGTTACCCTATTTCTGCTATTTACACCTTCTGATGCAGGCTTCCTGGGAAAAGAGATGGTCCTTAAGACTTGCTCTTCTAAAGTGGGGCACCCCTTTAATCCCAGCTCTCAGGAGGCAGAGGCAGGCAGATGTCTGTAAATTCCAGGCCAGCCAGGGCTACCCATTGAGACGCTGTCTCAAAAGCATATGAAAGTAAACTAACTGCCTTTTGTGGCCAGGCGTGACCGCACATGCCTGTGACTGTAACATGTGGGAGGTATAGACAGGGAGGGCAGGTTCAACACCAACAACTACGTACTGAGTTTGTGGCCAGCCAGGCCTACTGTCTCAAAAAATGAAAGCCGGTGGTGGCAGCGTGGTCCTATAATACCAGCACCTGGGGGATGGAGGCAGGTTGGTCTCTGTGAGTTTAGGGCTGGAATGTTTTGTTTTGTTTTGAAGCAGCTCTTTGGGCTACTGATCTATAATGCTTACATACTCAGACTGCATGCTCCCCGGCCACTGGGAATTCAGGCAAATGCACACTCCTACCGACCCTTTGCAATTGGCCCGTCTCTTCCGCCTCCTCCCTAATTCCAAGCTTTTCCCTTTACTATAGCTTTTTGTTGTTTCATTTCTATTTCAGTTGGTGACCTCAGTTTTCTAGCTGTCGGAGAAGATAAAAGGGTAAGTGTCCCACAGACATATACTTATTTCCATAGGCTTCTAGAAAGACAAAAAAGTGTTCATTTATTATAAAACAGGTATACAACAAAGAAATCCATTGTGACATCACTGATTCTAAAGTATAAAAAGAGATACCGCATTTAGTGAATTCATTTTCTCTTGTGGGTAAAGTTAATTAAATGCCTAATTTCTTATAAAATCCCATTATCTTCTTGATCCTCTACACTGTCATATACTGAAGAAAATCACCTATAACACAGACAAGAAACCAGGAAAAGTTATACAAGAGTAAGATAAACCCAGTTCCCGGTGTTTAAAAAGAAATGTAGTCAGTTAAGCATTACTTCTCATAGCTGGCACATCAGAGCTCAGTCACAGGCATTTTCACACAATTGCAGAATGATTGTGCCTTTCCCTCTCTAAACAAAACAGACAAACATGAATGCAGAGAGTAAAAGGAGGTACCGTGTCAATTCCAGGGAAGTCACCGCATCTGTTCACTCTGTGCCGGTCTGCAGGTGGCAGCCTCTCTATGTGAGACTGGGGTGGCATTTGGAGTTCAGGTTTGATTTTAGTGAGTGCCCCTTCGGCCCCCTTTGTAGATTCACCTCAGGGAGCTGCAAAATAAATGCTTCTGACGCTTGATGAGGCAGGGGCTTCGGTACATAGCAACATCAGGCATTTATTACTCTGGGATTCTGGGTAGATCATTAGCCATAGTTCCGAGCATATACAACTTCACATTCTATAAAAGCCAGGAGCATAATTCAAAAGTCTCCCAAGGTACATTAGATGTAAGCCACACAGACATGTGAGGGTCTCGCTGGCGGGCCACTCACGGTGACGGTGACCATTCCGTCACTGTTCCCACTTGATATCATCTCTCCTCAGTTTCCCCAGGAGATTGTGAACATGTATTGGACGAAAGCTGCTGTTTTTCTGGAAAGGGTTAGTGTCATTCAGAGACTTCCTAGGGATATTTTTCATGTTCTTTGGTCCTTTAGGGTTGCCATCTTCCCGAAGGACACCTGAAGGTCCTTTTATCCTTGAGTCCTGAATTTTTTCCTGCAGTTTACGGACCTGTGGAGAAAAGAAAATCTAATGTTTTAGGTAATAAGTAGGTAAATATACCCTAAAGTAGGTGACTAGGTTGGTGTTTTAAAGATCACGTCAGAAGGTCCGACCCAGCAAAAGTTACATCTCTGACAGCGGCTTCCACAGCTGACATCGATAGCCAGGCAGTTGAGTGACGCGTAAAACAGCCTCGCCTTCGGGAGCTTATTGCTCCAGTTAAAGAGTCAGAGAAGACCTGAGCTGGGCTAACTCTTGAAGAATATGCATGTGAGAAGGCCAGAGCAGAGCAGTGAAGATGGATGTGGATGTTGAGCAAAAGGTTACTACTGGTCAGAACTAGAGCTCCAAGACAGTAGGAACTTTTTAGGATATTAATAGCAAAGGAGAGAATTAGTGCTAGAATAGAAATAAATGTTTATTTGCTTAGGAGGCAATTTTAAATTAAAGATTATCACAATAAAAGGCTTGGACACTTATTCAAATTATAAAGTGTATAGATTGGGTAACTCTAAAATTGTGATTATTCTTCTATCTAAAATTTCTTCTATGCAGTTCCAAGAAAGGGCACAAGTTGTACAATCTTTACCCCAATGCAATCATAACATTTTTTGTTTTGTTTTTTACTTTGTATTAAAAGGATGTAAAATGGAAAAACATTTTTCTTTCTTGGCCATAAGCATAACGAATAGAGTAATTCTCAGAGATTTCACAAATCACCGTGTGAAGGGTTGGTACACCAGCGGCTTGTCTGGGTGCTGACCATCCCCAGGCAGACAGCTGTGAGAGGGACATGACATGATGGAAGGGTTCCTGGAAAGACTTCCTTCTGTTTCAGCAACATCACAGTGTTCTACATTCAGCTCTGGATGGAGTCATTGCCTTAGAGTAAAATATTACACTCATGAGTTTTCTGTTGAAATATTGAAGGTTATGCCCCTCTTAGTTTCTAACACACCTGTCTGCTAACTATAGTGGCTAAGCATAGGTTCCCAGGAGGGAGAGAATGGCTTCAGGATGATGTTGCTGCCTCTGTAGGCACAAAGGACATCAGTAACGCAGCGGGAGGGAAGGAATGCGGAAGGTGACCGGAAGGGCGCGAAGGCCACAGGCTCCTACAGTTTCCCCAAGGTCCGAGTCCACACGATCTCTTGTGCTCACACTTTTACCCTGAAGAGTTGAAAAGGAGACCCAAGTCACTTCAGCAGTGATGGCTCTCGGTAAGAGGACCAGAGACTCCCTTGTGTCTTTTAGTATGCCATACCCACACACACAGACTTACATTTGGAGGGCCGTACAGAGATGTGACATTGAATCCACATATATGTTACAGAATATTTGTTTAGCTATGCAAAGATGTACTGCATTTGCTTAATTATGTAAGGATGTATTATTGTTTTACCTTGCCTGCCTGAGGCACCTGATTGGCCTAATAAAAAGCTGAATGGCCAATAGCTAGGGAAGAGGTACAGGTGGGCTTCTGGGCATGGAGAGTAAGTCAGAGAAGGAATTTAGGCTCTGAGGGAAGAGAAAGAGATGCCAGGGGGCCAGACAGACAGACACTGAGGAAACAGGAAAGCTGGATCTGTAGAATGAAAGAAAGGTAAAAAGCCCTGAGGCAAAACATGGATGTATAGAAACAGGTTAAATTAAGTTAAAACAGGTGGTGTAGACAAGCCTAAGCTAAGGCTGAGCATTCATAATTAAGAATAATCTCCATGTCTTTATTAGGGAGCTAGTTGTCAGCCTAAAGAAAATTCCAACTACCTATGTATTTCTAGTAGTTCTTTTTTTTATTTTTTTCCAACATTGTGTGGCAATTGTTTCTGTGTTCTGCAGCCCGGTAGTTCTCAGAAGAGCAGTGTTTGTTTGTCTGTTAAGGTAAAGTTAAGGTAAAGTGTTCTTACACTGTCTTGATGCTTCTTGAGTTTGGAGATCTGGGCTCCTTTGCTCTCCATCTTCTTCACTAATTGCTCCAGCTCCTGCTCCATGTCATCAGGGACTGAGTGGCTTCCAGTTTGCATCATATGTTTCAGTAGTTCACTGTGCTCCCTACAGAGAAGAGCAAAGAGCGGGCGGGGCGGGGCGGGGCGGGGCGGGCGGGTAACTCAGTCACAGAGTGTTTCTCTGCATGTCAGATCCTGTGCTCAATACTCATTAACACAAAAAGCCAAACAAATAAATAAAAACACAGAAGCAGTATTGTGTGATATGACACATTATTTTTGCATGACTGAAAACAGCAAATATCAAATACTGTTTGCCACAAGTAATTTTTTTGCTCAACTATGACTTTTACAAAAAATAGTCACATCATTAGAATATCTAACTTAATATGGTAAACATAATCATTTAGAACTATCTCAGTATCTAGCTGCTGAATAGTCTAAAAAACAATCTAAATTGTTGGTGGGCTCAGCTAACAAGAATGAACAGGTCCACAGGGCTTTGCCGGAAGCAACACACGGTTCTCTCCAGTCTGGGATTGGAGATGCTGTCAAGAGAGCAGTGTTGTATGTGGCGACAGATCATGGGCTCAGTGAGTCTGCCATCTAAGTCACATAGTTCTGATGTCTGCGTTGACATGTATTTAAGCATGGGCTATAACACAATGACTCCTGTGTGTATCTTCCTTACTGAGGGTGCTTCAAATTCCTAACGCGGACCAGGCAGAATCGAAAAGGAATGGTATTCTTACTTGCCTAATAAAATCACCCACATAGCTAAAAGATTTAAAAATAAAAGCATATTTTCCTAAAGTCTTCAGACGCAATACATTTGATGTACATCTGTTAGTCTAAATCTCTGGAATAAAGGAAAGTGGTAATTCAACACAGTTAAAAGGTTAAATACTACAGTAGACACAATGAAAAATGGTTGTTTGTGGGCCAAAACAAAGTAAGTCCAACTAGCCAGAGAGGCCTTAAGAGAGTAAAGGTGGGCAGCAGAGAGACCGCTCAGGGGAGGACCCGAGTTGGGACAACCCTCTGTCACTCCTTTTCTGCAGTCTGTGAGACTCGAACTGCATGTACATATCCACTCACACACAGCATTTTCTATCTAATAAAATAAATCTTCATGAAATGAACTTATAGGTGATACTGTTCTTAAGCGAGTCCAGGAAAGAGGTACCTACACACGTGTGGTTACTTAATAAAGAAGAAACGCTTACACAGTCATTTGGTCCAGCTCCTCCTGCATTGCCATCAAAAGTTCAGACAAACTGTCACACATGGAAACGGGCTCTCCAGAGTTAGGAGGTCCAGCTTTGCCCTGGGAAGTTGTTCTGAGAGGCTTGTGGAGACACTGTGGTTCAGAGAGAACAGGTTTCTGAAGGTAACGCAGTCTACAGGGAGGCAGCGTCTGCAGAAGGTTTACAAGCTTGCATTAAAGGATCAGCCTGCACCGCACACTTGAAGGGAGGAGAAACTAGCGCTAGACCCTATGTGTGGTTAGAGCTCCGTGGGCACAAGCTGACACAAGCTCAGGTCATCTGGGAAGACGGAACCCCAGGTGAGAAACTGGTGACATCCCCTGGCCTATAGGCACGTGTGTGGAGTGTTCTCTTGGTTAATGATTGATGCAGGGTGACCCAGCTCACTGGAGGCAGCACCATCCTTGGGCAGGTGGTAAAATGAGCAAACCATGGAGAGCAAGCCAATGAGTCTTTCCTCCGCGGTCTCTGTGTCAGTTCCTGATTCCAGGTCCCTGTCCTAACTTCCCTTCACAGACTGTAAACCGAAATAAACCCTGTCTTCCCATGATGCTCCGGTCGTGGTGGTCATCACAGCGATACAAAGCCAACTAGGTCAGTGTGTAAACAGCGTTTGCATGGACAGTAGCTTTCCAAACGTCAAACTTCATTTTTACCCTCTTACCGTCTCCCTCTCCAAAGGCAGTGCTCTAGGCATGGGGGCCGTTCTCTGAGGTGGGTCTCTCTTTAGACACTTAGTTTTCTAAAGGTTAGCATGGGAAAAAGGAAGCAAAGTGCTATTTTAATATACATTTGCGATATGAAAAACTCAACACTAAGTATAAGTACAATTTGAGTGTAGGAACATTTGACTGGAGATAACAAAGGGTTAACACATGAAGAGATCGTCAACAACCTTGTTACTAGGAAAACTCAGGTTAATATAAAATACAAAAATAAAAAAGTTAAAAAACATCACCGCATGCCTATTAAAATGAGTAAAATAAGACAGCAATTACATAAATATTGTCAAGAATGCAGAGAAACTACATCACTTGCATATTTGTAAAGCCACTTGGGATGACAAGTTGGCAGTTTCTTGTAAAGTGAAACATGTATTTATCATGTGACCTAACAATTGCACTCTTGGGGACTTATCCTAGAAAAATAAAAACTGATGTTCACACACACACACACACACACACACACACACACACACACACACATGCACGCACGCACATGCATACAATAGCTTTACTTGTAATAGCTGGAAAGTACCAACAACCCAAATGTCCTCACACAGGAACTGATTAAACTGTAGAGGTCCCTAGCATGGACTCATGTCAAAGGGAAAGTGAACATATAACAACTCAGATGGAACTCCAGGGAAAACGCAACCCCACAGGTTCAGACTGTGCAACTCTAATGACCGCTGTGTCATTGGGATGCAATGTTGCTGTGTAGAGCAGGCTGGTCTCCATCATGGCAATCCCACTGCCTCAGCCTCCTCAGAACTCAGATTGCAGACACAGCACCTGATTATACAGGATTCTTGAAAGAAGAAAAACTACAGAGAAGGCAAACAGTAGCTTGCTGGGGTTGGGGGGAGGGGCGTGGCTATGAAGGCGGTGTGGAGGACCCTTGGGGCGGTGAGCAGTTCTGTATCTTCATCACTGTGGTGGCTACATGAATCTACACATGTAATAAACCTGTTACCATTAGAACTATACCTGTCTCTACTGTTCCTAAAAGCCTTCAGTGGGTACCAACTATTCAGAGTAAAAGTTCAAATCCAACACCACCACCTGTTTTTGGATGGGAGTCTGTTTGCCAGGCTAGCCAGGAGCCTACTATATATAACACAGGGCCCTCCTGTCCTAGCCTTTTGAGTACAGGAATTACAAATGAGCATCACTACACCCGGTTTTAATAGGTTTGTTTTTTGAGACACTGTCTTGTTAGCCCATGGTGGCCTGAGATTAAGCTATGCATCTCTGTCCCCAGCTGGGATTGTGTGTCATTCTTGAGGGTTCCCAGGCTGATCTCAGTGTGGTGGCCCTGCATCACTCTCCACGGGTTCTTCTGGCTATGTGGGCCCGAAGACTCATCACACCCTGCTTGTCCTTGAACTCCCAGACCTCCTGCCCCAGCCAGCTGGGACTCTAAGCATGTGCCGTGTGCTCTACAGACACTGGTTCAAGTGCAACAAAGTATAAGAGCTGGGAACATGGACACATCCACACATAAACGCATAAATGTACAGAGATAAGAGGGGCTCTGAACTCTGACCCATCTCCTGCGATGCCGGAGCTTTTATCCTGAAAGGGAAACATGCTATTTCCACACCCTATGCACCTGGCAGTGGACTTAGTGCCTTACTACGTGATTTTGCTGTTAGTTACCCTCTTCTTTTTCAGAAGTTTTATTTTCTTTCTTATGCTCCTTTTATCGTCTACAAGGTGTGGTAGTACAGGGCTGTATTCCAAGCTACTAAGGAGGCTCAGGCATGTGGACAGAAGTCAAGGTGAGCCCAGGACACATGGAAAATCTGAAGCCAACTAAGGCTACTAGTGTGTAACCCTGTCTCAAATATTAATAAATAAACTTTAAAAATCTTTGTTTTTACTGCATATGTATTTACATAAAACTGCATGCAGGATTTATTATTATTTATTTATTTTGACACGTGTCTCACTATGTAGCCCTGGCTGACCTGGATCTCTGGATCTCTCTCTATCTGGACCAGGCTAGCTTTCACAAAGTCCGGCTTATCTGTGCCTCTCTAGTGCTGGAATTAAAGGTGTGTACCACTGTGCCCTGCTTAGCACGCTTGGAAACAATGTCACCAATACATTCTGTTAGGCGCTCTGTGAGAACTGGCTGCTTGCCGGCACAGCACAGGCTCAGTCAGGCAGGCAAACAGAGAGTTAGGTTTTGCACACTCTGACATTGCTTTAGCCTGGGTCTCATGGAACTTTCTGTCCTTACCATCACCATTTGACTTATTTCTTGGCATGACTGCCGCATGTCTGGGGATCCCACAGGCTCATATCCTTGAAAGCTTAGTCACCGGAAGGGAAACGCTTGAGGAGCATTGGGAGGTGTGTTACTGGGTTTGGGCTTTGACATTCCCCCATCAGGCCCAGCCTCTACCCCCATCCCCTCTCTACCTGGAGCCTGTGGAGCAGGATGTAATGCTCTGCCCCCCACCATGGTGACAATGGACTAAACCTCTGAAACTGTAAGCAAGTCCCCGGTTAAATGCTTTATTTTATAAGAATTGCTGTGGTCATGGTGTCTCTTCACAGCAATAGAACAGGAAGACAACGTCTTCTGTCACAAATGTCTTCTCAACCTTCCAGGAAAGAAGTAGAAGTATTAAGGGCAAATCAATGTACATCATAAAGTTAGAAGTATCTTGGGAAAGCTGTATATTCGTACCTTTAGTGGTTTCTTCTTTTCTTTACAGGACTTTGAATGTGAAACTGTAGACATTAAAATTTTGCTGATTTCCAGTCCAGTTTGAAGCTATAAAATTAAAGAAATAATTCATGGACTGATCTGTAACAAGCTTCTTGATACATAATGGAAGTTAGGGCCTCAGCTTTTGAGCGTAAATACGTTCTGAAGCCAAGAACTGCTCAGTTGCAGTTTCCTGGATGGAGCTGAAGCAGGACTGGACTGTGGGAGCCTAGGAGCTGAGAGCCAGCTCAGGGGACACAGTGAGGCTCCACGTTAAAAAACAACACCCAAAGGTCTTCTGAGGGAGAATACCCTAGTAATACATTACGATTATTTTCTGTTTATAATAGAATGTGTGTGTGTGTGTGTGTGTGTGTGTGTGTGTGTGTGTGTCTCAAGGTGACACTAATGTATGCTAGGAGCCAGTTATCTCAACTGAGGGTATATGTATGTGCAACATCTTTTGGCAATGTGTCTGAGTATAAGGGTGTGCTGGCAAGTGACAATTTTGTTACCACAGTAAAACAGACAGTAGTAACAATCTGGAACACCCACACCAAGTGTAGACTGGGGTTTAGGTCATGACAATCAAGCATGCAAAGACACGTGGTGTCCGTGACGGACTAAAGACAGCTATTGACCTCACACGCTCTGTCTTGGAACAGCTTGCGCTGATGCTCCTCTTCCTTTAGTTTCTCCTCGAGATATCTGATCTTATCCTGCAAGAGAACGAGCCTGCATGAGCCCCAAGCCCAGTGTCCTCCCCAGGACAGTCCTAGGGGCTCAGTTAGAGTGGAAAGGAAGAAGAGCAATGGCAGAAGCCGCCTAGAGCTCGCGGGCCTCCCTGTGCGTCCTTCCTTGCTGCTGTCCATGAGAGCAAAGGGAAAGCCTGGACACCAAGGTCGCAGCGCTCTGCTCGCTTCCCCTACTCATCCACCTGCCGGCTTTAATTCTAACCTGCACAAACGTGAACGTCACTTTCTTCCTACTGTCTATTCTACGTCATTACTGAGATGACACAGACGATGGCTTAAATCACTCTCCGTGTGTTTTTACTTCGCGCTTGCTCTGGTGCTGCTGATGTTTTCTCCTCTCAGCGTGGCTGAGAGTTCAAGGACCACTGTGCACTCCAGAGACTACCTCGAGGCCACCACCAGATCTACAGACAATAAACACACACGCTTTATTCCCAGCTACCACCAGAGCCACGTGAAGCTTCCGAGAATGCTATAGCTTTGAAGCCCATTATGGGCTTGGGTCCCAACGTCCACTCAAAAACAAACAATAGTAACGCTGGCCATGTACGCGTGGTGGGTGACAATGCTGGTCACTTGCACGTGATGGGGTGGGGTGCAGGAAGTGCCTGGTTCCTTGTTCTGTCAAACAAGGGTTACAATAACACAAGGGCTAGCAAGACAGCCCAGCAAGCAAAGTGCCTGCCATGAAAGTTTGATCCCTGGAGCCATGGAGAAGTGGAAGGAGGAAACCAATTTCACACAGCTGTTCTCTGACCTCCACACATGTGCCATGGCGTAATGCACCTCCATTATCCACATACACAGTAATAAACTCATAATCGCTAAAAGAGTAATACACATGAAATGGTAAAATGGCAAAGCAATGAGAACAATTTAAAAAGAGCCGTCATGCACTCCATACACACGCACGCACGCACGCCACCTTCTCTGTGCGGTTCAGAACAGGAACCATGACAGAAGTGTCATGGGGAGAGATTTCTGAGGGTTACAAAGACGACATGAGCCTCCAGGGCAGTGCTGTGGAACCAGGCGGACTCGGGGGAGGAGAGCGGATGTAGCATAGGCGGTGAAGGCCATCTGGTGCCCGCAGGCAGGCTCCCTCATGTCACGACAGGACACCCGCTCCCCGAGGGCAGGAACTACCCGGTGACTGAGAGGGGTGCACGGATCGATCGCTCTAACCCTTGATTCACTCACTGCTAACCCACGTCAGCTCACACTCTTCCTGATGGTACCACCTCAGAGACAAGACAAAGACAGCTTACCTCAGCAGTCTGCTGGGTCGTCGTCAGTCTGAAACACTCTTTTTCTAAGACATCGAGCTTTTCCAGTTTAGCGTGCAGCTTCATCTGATCTTGTTCTTTTTCCCTTTGAAGCTGGGCCTAGAAAAGAAAGAAAAAAAATCTAAATTTGGCAAGTAAAGCCTATGGATCAAGGATAACATAATTTCTCAGAAATCAAAGTATAACATAATCAGCTACTAGAAACATGTATATACATGTCTACATGTTAGGCACTTATGAGCAGAAAACAAGAACATCAGATCCGTTAAAGGAGCAAATGTAGTATGTGACAAACATGTTGTTGAATTAGCACTAATAGAATAAAGCTCTGCATCTTTATACACCAATGGCACTATGGAAAGTGTCACACAAAAAACTTACGCCAAAGCTGTGAGGTGTAACTCACAGGTGACCAAGCCTACTCATGACCCCAGCCTCCCTGACTCTAACACAGAAGAGCAGTTGGGGATAAAACACATGCACAGGAAGTTACCAGACACATGCGCAGGAAGTCCCCCCACTCACAGGAAGTTACCACACACATGCACAGGAAGTCCTCCACCATACACCCAGGAAGTTACCACACACATGCGCAGGGAGTTACCACACACATGTACAGGGAGTTACCACACACATGCACAGAAAATTACCACACACATGTGCAGGAAGTTACCATATACACACACACAGGCTGTTTTATAGGACTGTTTATTATATTAGTACTAAGAGCCAACTGTTTAGGGACAAAGAAGAACCTGACTTGGTTTTCTATGAACATAAAAATAGCTCTATAACGGAAAGCCTACTAATTAGAACAGAATGAAAAGCAACCACAGAAAGCAGTCTAGGATAGCCTGATTCTGCTGACTCAGACAAGAGAGAGGAGCAAGACAAAATGCCCACTGAAGAATAAAGGCTAAAAATATTCCAAGCTTAATCTCAAATATTGACAGACTGAAAAAATAAGAACCCCAAACAGCAAAAGTAAATCAACCAGAATTCTATATCTCTCACAAATATGTCTGAAACAAAGGCTATTCCAGGTATACAAATGCTATGAGGATTTTTGGCATCATTTTTTTTTTTCTTCAGACTGAAGGAAACTCAATCTATGCAGAAAAATGCAAAGCGCCAGAAATGATTAAACTGTAAATAAATACATATTTTCTTTGTAATTTTCTTTAAAGGACAGTCACAAATTTTAGGGAGCTAATAATGAATTATGGGTCTGTTTTACAACATGAAAGTGAAAGCTATAATACAGATGGAGGCGCACGGTAGAAAGGGTCTCTCATGAGAAGGGTTTACTATAATTCATGGCACACTGGTAAATTAGAATACAGGTCCCTGGGGAAGAAGGGAGGAGGGTTAAGAAGGCACCACCAGAGCTGGGGCTACTGGTTTTTGGCAGGAACACCAGTCACTTGGGAGGCTAAGGGGGGACGATTGTGAGTTCAAACCCACCCTGGCACCAGATTGACACCTTGTCTCAACACAAATAAATAATAATAAGTGAGTAATGGGCTGAAGGATAACTCAACAGTGAAGCACTTTCCTGCCGTATCCAATGCCCGGGCTTTAATTCTTTACGCCACACACATAAGCATGTATGCACGCAAAGAAATCCCTACTAAGATTTGAAAATATTTTTAAATGAAATAAAAATTACCAGACACTGTTGGATGAAGGCAAAAAGTGTTTGGTAGGGACTTGATAACTTGAACTACAAATACACAATAGTTAAGAGAACTGAAGGAAGATGGGGTGTGGTAGATTAGGAGCTGTCCTGAGTGACTCTACGAAGAGTCAGACAACAGAGACTAGACGATTCCAAAGAGAGGAAGAGTGGTAACCCACCACACACCACCTGGAGACTGGACAGGGACAAGTGCAGAGATGGACAAGGGAGCTGACGGGAATGGGCAGCTGTGGCTCAGCTGTGGCTCTGAGCAGAGGGTGAGGCTGATGCTGGCAGGCAGGCAGGCTACTTAGTGAGGAAAGCTACCAATCCACCTGGGCCTCTATCATGGTGACTCCTCCTTGTGATGAGGAAGCTCTGTCTGGATTCCCCATCTCAGAGGATGTGCGCAAGGGACCCGGCCCCAAGTCTACCTTGTTGACTTTCAAATCAACAGGAGTTTTTGTTTCACTTTCTAAATTTAAAGACTAATTTTAGTAATACCTTTTGTTTTTGTTTTGTTTGTGTTTTGTTTTTTTTTTTTCAAGACAGGGTTTCAAGACAGGTTGCTTTGGAGGCTGTCCTGGAACCAAGTTGAAATGTAAGAAATGAAAACCCAGTTTGCCAAGGAGAGCCACAGCAGAAAGCATCACACATGGCCTCAGAGCCGCTAGACCGCTCGCAATGAAGAGTACCAGGAGCGAAGCCAGGGCGGAGGGAACATCGCATTCAGACTTCAACAAAGAAAGTAAGCATGAACACTCCATTAACAACTCTGGGACAGCTGGGCGGTGATGGCACATGCCTTTAATGCCAGCACTGGGAAGCAGAGGCAGAGCTAGTCCCAGGACAGGCTCCAATGCCACAGAAAAACCAAAAACAATCAACCAACCAACCAACCAACCAACCAACCAAAAAACCCAACTCTGGGACTGGAGCATACACTAAATCTAAGACTTCCTCAGACAGAGGTGGTGCTGTCCTGGAACACACAGAGATCCACCTTCCTCTGCCTCCCGAGTGCTGGGATTAAAGGTGTGCACCACTAATGCCCAGCAAAATGTTTCTTATCTTACCATGGCAGTCTATGCAATCAAACTGCAAGTCAAAGTTGCTTTAGTCAGGTGTTTGTCACAACAACAGGAACTGGAACTGGGGTGTGGGGCTGTGGAAGTGATAGGCTCTGGCGTGTGTGGAACTAGTTTACGGGAAGGGTCAGGAATGAGTTCGGAACTGGGAGTTGGAGAAGTCCTAGGATCCTGTGGCCATGCTGGGGAGGTGAGACGGGGAGGTGAGACAGAAAAACTGGTAAATGCAGTGGTGTGTTCCGAAGAGGAGCAGGACTCGATAACAGGGACTGAGGGAGAGGCCATTCCTACCACAGTCTGGTAACAAAACTGGACTCATTCTGCCCGCAGCCTAAGAACTCAAGTGAGGTTGAAATTCGAAAGCAAAGGACGGGGGTGGGGGTGGTGGTGGTGGTGGTGGTGGTGTGTGTGTGTGTGTGTGTGTGTGTATGTGTGTGTGTGTATGTGTGGAAGATGGCCCATCAGTTGGGAACACTTGCTATTTTGCACAGGACTTGTTTGATTCCCAGTACCTACATCTGGTGGTTCACTAGTCGAGTTCCAGAAGATCCAAGGCCCCCTCCATACACACAGACCCACAGATACACACACACACACACATACACACACACACACACACTCACACACTAAATCTTTTAAAAAGCAATGTATTAATTTATTTGGTAGAGGACATTTCAAGGAAAGGGGTTTGTTTGTTTGTTTTTTGTTTTTTTGTTTTTTTCCTTCTGGTTTTTGAGATAGGGTTTTTCTGTTTAGCCTTGTCTGTCCTGGAACTAGCTCTGTAGACCATGCTGGCCTCAAACTCCCAAGTGGCCTCCCAAGTGCTGGGATTAAACATGTGCTATCATTGCCTAGCCTCAAAGGAAGATTGTTTTCAGACTGCAGCATGGCTATTGCCCACTGCAAAAACTGGATAGAAAAATATGAAAACGTGCAGTGCATTCAAGCAGAGCTTACAGCAAATTCAGCACTGCAGCCGAGCTGGGAAGGACCTCGACTCTAGGCCTTAAAGAGAATAGCTCAATTAAAGAGACACCTGGTTCCAAGTTCCTGCAAAGAGGCCCGAGAGGCTACCTCGGGAAGCAGCCAGAGTAAAGCCTACACTGCAGTGAGACCCTGGGATGCTGGAGATGTCAACATCATGGGACATCTTCTCAGGGAAGTTACAAGCATATCGTAGACCTGGCCCAAGGGAGAGACTCTGCCACAGGCAGCTGGAGGGACATGACTCCTCACAGACAGAGCATGTGTGTCACAGGCAGCTGGAGGGACATGACTCCTCAACAGACAGAGCATGTGTGTCCTAGGCAGCTGGAGGGACATGCATCTTCAGCACACAGGACACGTATGTCACAGGCAGCTGGAGGGACATGAATCTTCAGCAGACAGGACATGTGTGTCACGGAGCTGGAGGGACAGGACTCCTCAAGGTTGTTGGGAGCTCTGAGGGCTCCATCACAGTCCCAGTTGGCACACATGCAGCAGGAGGTTGATGCTGGCCCTCTGACTTTCAGTCTTAACTCTGTTTGACCTTCGTATGGCCCCTCCCCTCTTTTATAATGGAAATATCTACTCTGTATCACTGTATACTGGAATTCTCTCTGCTTCCCAACTGAAGAAGACACAATGTAACTGTTAGTACTCAGGCACCTGCCCTTGGGGTTCTGACAGGACACGCCCTCAGCTGCAGCCACTAAGAGCCACCTGTGCACATTCACTGTGTTCCCTTCTAAAAGCCCCCCTCACCTCCCATTGTTCTCTCTGTCTTCCCCACAGCCTGCCTCTCACTTCTCTTCTGCTGCTCCTGTCCCCAGAGGCTGGTGAGATCTGTCACATGTGTCTTTTTCTCTTGAAGCACTTTTATGTATATAAATTATAACAGTAACCGGCTGCCTCATACCGCCGTCCCCCACCCCTCACCCCTCCCCCTCACCCCACTGCCATGCCTTTCCTATCACAGGGACTACTGTACTGTACTGTAAAAGCCCCTCCTTTGCTTTTGTTGCTTTGGTTAGGTCTCCTGTCCTAGAAATGGGGAAAGGAATACAATCAGTGAGTTATGGCAAAACTTCCTCTAACCTGGGGAAAGAAATGGGCTCCGATGTGAGAAACATTCAGCCCCACTACAAAGGCACTTAGCTCAACAAGGAGCCATATTTCCTGAAACTTTCCCTTCCTCTTTTTTGTCAATTACAAGGGCTACTCAGACTTCAAACTGACATGCCCTAAGAAGAGGCGCTCCATGACAGACCAGAACTCCAAAACAAAACAAAAGCCAAACAACAACCAACCAAACAACCTGGTAACCTTTCCACTTTATGAGGTGATTATCTTAGGTGCCTCTTGACTGAGGGGGATGATTTTAATTTTTAATCCATTTTGGAAGGTGCTCAGCTACCATATTTTCAAGTATTACTTCTACATCATTTTTCTTTCCATCTTAAAACCTCCACTTACATATCCAGTTAGATCTTTCTTAATCTCTTATTTCCCGAGTTTACTATAATGTCCCTTTGTTGGCCTGAGTGGCATGTGTCCATCTCTTGAATTCTGTCTGGTAATCATCTAGTAGGCCTACTGGTTCTAAATTTCATTTTTAGTATTTAATTTGTTCTCAAATCTATTTGGCCATGTTATGGCTTCTAACACCCAACAGAAAATGTCGTTTTCTTTGCCCTCCTCTTCTTGAGACACAGTCTAATTACGTTGTCCAGCGTGGTTGCATCACCACCCTGCCCTGACTAGAGCAAGCACAGAGATTTTAGGGGCTGGTGTCCCTCTGAGCCACTGCTTACTCAGTGCTAACTGTGGGAGTATCTGTGTGTCCTGTGGATGCTGGTCCTGGAGTTCCAGCTCCTGGCTGTGATCTAGGCGGTCGGTCTGCTTCCTTACTCAACTCTACAAAGCACACAGCCCGAGGTTGCCTCGGCTTTCTGCGCTAGGTAGGCCTTAGGCTGATTCCCTGAGCCAGAAGGGCAGCTGTCAGAGGTGCTGTGTCAACCGCCCCTCTGAAGTCAACATCAGGGTGAACTGTGGGGATTTAATGGGTGATTATGTGCAGCCTCCTTAGGGCCTTGTCTTCTTCCTTCCTCCTCCCTTCCCCCTTGTGCAGTTTCTTCAGGTTATCTGTTAAATTTTTCTTGTTTTCATTGCAAAGTGTCAGCCTAAATGGCAGCCTACTGTCACTGTAGGTGAAAATCTCCTACACACAGCTTTATATCTTACTATGGCTATAATATGAAAAACTTCCCATATTACAGTCTTCAAAACACCGTATTAAATTGCCATTCCTCAAGGGAGAGTGTACTTACCTGTTGTTCTAGGATCATAGCCTTTTCTCGCTCTACATTGAGAACCATTCTCTTTGTATATTCGAGCTGCTTCTCTAGAAGTGTACAACGGGACTGGGCTGAGCTTAACTGGAAGCTTATATCTATGCAAGACAAAATAGTGAGTTAATTAGCCTACCCCAAAGCTGGAGCTCCAGGCACTCACAGCCATTGTTTTTAAGACTAATTCTGGCCTTGCTCTTACTCACTGACTTTAAGCATGAGTGACTCACGAATGGGGGTCTGAGCAGCCTGTGGGTTTTAGTTTTCGCGTCCGCCATTTAACCTGGGAATCAAGTATGGCAGCCATCACACAGGTTCTCTCCTTTACTCTTTCTTATCATCAAAACAAAACAAAACATGTCTGTGAAACCCTCTTTCACTTTGTAGCCCTGGATAGCCTGGAACTTGCTATGTAGTCCAGGCCAGTATGAATACACAGAGGTCTGCCTCTGCCTCCCAGGTTAATTCCAGAAGGGGAAGTAACCAGTGTTTAACCCTTTCACTTCCGTCAGCGCCACGTGCTCAGTCTGCCTCTTCTCATTGTTCATTCTGTTGGGAGGTGAAATGCAAGGGGCTTTATGTGTGTGGGTGAGGGTTTCAGAAGGAAGACAAAAGAGTTTGGAAGAAAAATATACAAGAACTTACACGCTACATTTCTTAAAGTTCTTATCTAATGCCCCTTTCCTAATTTCCACAGAGGCCTCTATCTATCTCCTCTAATTAATCCTGTATTCAATTTGAATAAAATTATTTCCCATACATTTTTATGATTTTATATTATTTAATTAGATTAATCAAAATATAAAATATTATTATGGATTTAGCTAAGCTTATTATTCATTCTAAAAATATTCTAATTTCTAAACACAATTTACCTAAGGTTTTTCTTTTAACTCAAATACTTACAAAGTAGGGGCTGGGGATACGGCTCAGCGGATAGAATAATTCAGTCCCCTGCATTGCATAGAGCAACTCTGGTGATGCATACCCACGATCTGGCCCTTGGGTGGAATCAGGAGGACCAGATGCGCAAGGTCCTTGGCTATAGCAAGTTCAAGACCAGCTTGGGGGGCGTGTGAGACTCACCTCAAAATTATATTTGTGAGTAGCATAATAGATACAATGCAGGCAAGTCCAGGGTTACATTAGTTCCCCACAAATACCAAAATGCTGAATGACCATGGCCTCAGGCTTCCCCTGGGCTCATTGCTGTCAAACTGAGCTCTGGCAAGCCCGAATGCCAAGAACCAGTGTCCTTTACCTTTTTTCTGTTTAATCAATTCCTGGTGGGCCAGGTTCCGCTCATTTGTTTCATTCTCCAAGGCCTTTTTATACTGTGCTGCCTCTCTGGACAGAGAGTTCAGGTTGTCCTCAGCCTGAGTCCGCTCCAGCTCTAGGCGATGGATCTTTTCCTGAAGAGTTTTTAATGCTGAAACAAGTGCTATTGAAAAGAAATTTGCTTGATGTTTCAAATGAAAGTCTTTTGAAAAATTAATAATTATAATAACTTGGGTAACAATAAAAAATGAACAGTGTATTTTTGCTAGTTGCCAGAAAATATATAGAAGTTGATGTATAATACCCATAAAATTAAAATACTTCTAAAAAGGGATGCATTTCCTATGGTGCATCTTGTAGAAACAATAATCTACTGGGTTAAGTGATTTCTAGGATAGAATTTATTATTCCTAATGAGAGACCTTCCACTAATTAATATGGTAATTGAGGCTTAAAGATACACTCAGTTCAGCGAACCCTGCCATTATTTTGTTCTTTGTGGGCAGGCGAGGTGGAACGGTTTTTCCAGGAAACAAACAAACAAACAAACCAGTGGCCTGGGCTAAAAGACACAAGGAGCCCGTGTTTGCTATTGTGGCTTTTACTAAGCTCCATTGGTTGGTGTCTTCATGATGCTGAAAAAGTTCGAGTTAAGTATTTTCTAACCGTTATTTTCTATTCCTTTGTGATTTCAAATGATGAAACTAGGTCTGACTAGAATATACATAAGTGAATGTTAATAACATATATTCAGCTAGTATAATGTTTGCTGGAGAATCTTGTTTCCTCTATCTGGCACTAGCAGCTGGCTCACTGATTTGGATATCAACTCGTCACAAGGATCACCTGGGAAGAGGAACCTCAGTTGAGAAGATACCTCCTCCAGACTGGCCTGTGGGAAAGAAAGCCCGTGGTGCACTGTCTTGATGAGTTACTGATGCGGGAGGGCCCAGCTCACTGTAGGCATCCAGGAGCTTGTCATGTGAAATCAGCTGAGCAGGCATGAGGATGGGGGGGGGGGGAAGCAGGCAGCATGCCTTCAGGGCCCTGCCTTGAGTCGGCCCTGCCGTCCCTCAGGGATGGATGGAAGAGTTGTAGGAGAGATAAACCCATTCTTCCTCACCAGGGTATTCTGTCATGGTGTATTGTCACAATAGAAACCCTAACCAAGACAGCAACTATGATTACAGACCTCTTGGGAGGGAAACAGTCAGATGATAAAGTAATTTATAAAGAATTAAACACTCTGGAGCCATAAATACTTTCTAATTCAATATTAAGGTTCTCTTAAATTTATGTTTAAAAAATTCTAATAGTCACATTTTATAGTTATTTGAATATAATGGCTTCCAAAGAGATTCACAAGGATAATTTTGGATATGTGAATTCTGACTGAAGCTTGAATATGATACAACTCCACACGACTCTCTAGCATTCTGATTATCTAGGTTAGAAGGATTCCAAACCTGGATTTTTGTTCTATCCTTTATTAATTCATTTATTTACCTTTTTCTGTGTAGCCTTGGCTGTACTGGAACTTACTGTAGACCAGGCTGGCCTTGAACTCTGAGATCTGCCTGCTTCTGAATCCAGAGTGCTGGGATTAAAGGCGTGTGCCACCACCAATACCTTTTTTATTTGTATGTAATGCATATATATACATGGGTACACATGTACCATGGAGCACACACACAGAGACACATACACACCCTCTCTCTCTCACACACACACCCTCTCTCTTATACACACACACACACACACACACACACACACACACACACACACAGAGTCAGTCCTGAGCTTCTCTCTATTGCCAGTCCCTTGGATGTTTATTTTATTTACAAATTGACAAGAAATTTAATAGACAAAGAACTAGTTTACAAATAAAGAGATACCTTGAGAAGCAAGAAGAAATATGCATGTCATGCTCTTCAATGAAAACTTCATTGTTGTGAAACTATGAAGACTAACATCAAAATCAGATGACCAAGGTAAAAAGTTGAAAATGATTTCAAATCTGCCTTCTTAGAAAACTTCAGCCAGGTGATGGTGGGACACCCAGTACTCAGAAGGCAGAAGCAGGAGGATCTCAGAGTTTGAGGCCAGCCTTGTCTACACACTGAGTTCCAGGACAGCCAGGGCTACACAGAGAAATCCTGTCTCAAAAAAACCAAACCAAACCAAACAAAACAAAACAAACAAACAAACAAAAAAATCCCTCCACAGTTCTGCTAGATCCAAAGTGTGAATCACAGGACACAGTGATGACTCGGGAGTGTGAGGTCCATGCAGTCCCTAAAGAACAGGAGCCACATGGAAAAGAGACTGCACCTGTATGGTGGCACGCTTGTAAGGAAGGCCAGCACTCCCAAGGCTGGGGCAGGGACAAAGTCCTATGTCTTGGGCCATCCCAGGCTATGGTGTGAGACCGTGACCACCTAAGTAAAAAATCTATTTTACCACTCTGCCTGTAACAGCTAATGAATGTTTATTCCTTTTATTTGTTTAAGGCAGGATTTCTCTCTTTAGCCCTGGCTGGCCTCTACATCTCAAATGCTGAGATTAAAGGTATGTGACACCATCCCAGCTCTGACTTATTATTGCTAAGAGTAGTTTCTGTGCTCTAAGATGTTTTTATGATAAATGTGGAATATTAATTAAGTTGTTAATCTTTAGATTATAGTTGAAGAAGCTCATAGAAATGTTAAGTGACCTGTGTAAGCTCACAGAACAGCAGTAGACAGGTGGTTAACAGGTCTGTGAATATCCAATACATAAGCACACTATTTTCTATATAACAACAGTAAGCTCTGTGCCATGCTCTGTCTTGCTCCGAATTTTCTATAAAGTTTCATATTAATATTACCTTGGTTGTTTGGACTATTAAACATTTTAGGAGGGATGACTTCTGAATTCACAGGGTGGCCATTCTGAGATGGTTCATTCTGGATAAAAGATGGGAGATACATTCTTTCTGGAGGGTTAAGATAGCTCCCAATTACACTGTGTGATAATTCAGAATCCATTGTCTGTGGGAAACAAAACAGACAGTATAGTGTCACTATTTCCATCTGAGAGACAAATCTATTACATAAAAATGACACAACACAGTTATACACAACATAATTTTATCTTTACAAACTTAATTATCATAACTTCAACTAGATTAAACTCAGCACCAACAGAATGAAAAACGGCTATTGTGATAGTTTGAATGTAACTGGCCCCGGTAAGCTTATAGGGAGTGGTCTTGTTGGAGGAGGTGTGTCCCTGTGGGGGTGGGTTTTGAGGTCTCCTATGCTCAAGCTACCTAGTTCAGTTCGCTTCCTGCTGCCTGCAGATCAAGATGTAGAACTCTGAGCTCCTTCTCCTGCACCGTGTCTGCCTGCACGCTATCATGCTTCCTGTCATGTTGATGATGATGGACTGAACCTCCAAACTGTATGCCAGCCCAGGGAACAGGGAACAACACATCTTGGATCTTCCATCTTACGTTTTAACTTTTTGCATTAGAGCCAGGCCCTTGCACATGCCTAACTCTGCCAGCGAGCTATGCTGAAGCAATTCCTGGTTTTAAATTCACATTTCATAGAAATGAGAAATTCTTTTAGGTTGGTTTTTAATCATTGTGTTCTGAGAATGTAGCTCAACGGTAGGGTGTTTACACAGCATATGAAGGCCTTGTTCTGATCTCCCGATCACAAACAAATGCACACCTACACTCTTCTGCGAAGATGATTCCGTGCATTCTGGGTAAGCTTCTACAGGGTTCGAACCCCATTTAACCAAACTGTTAGAGAGAGACTTTTTTTTTTTTTTTAAAGTAAGTTATAAATTCAGACTTGAAATTCACACGAGCAAGGATTGTGATGAAAAGTCCCATCTCAGGGCAGAAGGGCTGCTACTCCAACCAAAGCCAAGGGTAAGAATAAGAATGGGTGTTGGTGTTGAGCACCTGGAGTTGGTCTGAAGAGCAGGTTGTCTTCTTAAAGCACCCATACCAAGTTTGACGCTTTGGTTATCTCTACTGTACTGCCTGAACTTCTCACTAATAACAACAGGCAACTTCTCTTTCCCCTGCAAGCACCTTCCCCCATAAAGCCCAGGTTCTGAGGCGAGGAAAATCACAGGGGTAGGTGAGCCCCGCCGAAGATGCCTTCTGATTCTGGTGTTGTTTTCTTACTTTGGTACCAGTTCAGTCGTGCTATTAAAAAAGATACACTAAAAGCTTTCTGTTTGTCATTTTTATCAGAGAAGTTTCTATTTAATGGGTGTATTGCCTGAGAAAATACACTATAATCACTTTAGAAATTCTTAGATACAAATTGTTCCAGACATTTGGCTACATACATAAATAAAAGCATTTCTATCTCCCATTCCAGTTCCAAATTTATTTACATAATATGTGTTCTCCTTTGATCTCAATGAAGATTAGATTGATCATTCATTGAATAGCCAATTCACAGGAAAACAGATTATACTGTAAACACCTATAGAATGAGTAAGACGTAATCAGAACATAATTATAAGTATAATTATGTTTATAATACTATATATACTATAACTTTAAGCTTAAAAAAATAGCAGTGACTACTCATAGTGCCCATTAAATTCCTAAAACTCAGAAGCCACTTAACTCTCCAATGACTATTACATAAAATGTGTTCATAGACTCACATATTTAATATACTATCTGTAGACATTGAAAATGATCTATTGAGCTTTTGTACATTTGAGAGAAAAAAGTCCCCGTTTTGCGACAGTAAGATGAGTGCTGGCAAGAAACATCGATGGGTGATAAACCCAGGGCAAACTCTTGATAAGTGGGATGTTTTGCATGGTCCTATAGTGAAGCCACATTGGTTGCTTATTATATGCAGAAAAGAGTTATATAGAAAAATCCAATAAGAGCGATCATTGATGAAGTGAACATCTCCTGTGAGGAGCAAGGGTCGCCACATGCCCCTTGATAGGACGTCCTGAGAAGCACACAGCAGCCCCCAAGCTGTGCCGAGAGCATCTGAATAGCAAATGGGAAAACATTACAAAAGCCCCAAATGGCAATCATCCAGTTTTTAGAGGGGAGGAGGTGGACAGTAATCGCTCTCTTCCAAAGGGTCGATGTCATAAAACACAATCGTATGTCCAGCTGTAGATCCTAAAGAGCTGGGAGTGTCCTCTCAAGACTGCTGAGAACAATGTACTCTGGCCACCCTAGCGCCAGGCCAAAGCATAAGAGTATGAGTTTGATGCTATTCTCGGCCACACAGGAATGTCCAGTCTAAAACAAACAGAAAAAAGACAGCTAGCAATATTTACCAACCTACAAATCTCCATTGGCAGGTGAGCATGCATTATAATGTACACACAAAGCTAGCCTTGCAAAGGAGGCAAATTCTGGCACGCACTGTACCAGCGGCCTTGAGGACGTTATGTTAAATGAAACAAGCCCAACACAACTGACACCTTATCGTTGCATTTATGTAAGGTTGATGGGAGGTGCTATTCTGTAAATACGTTTCTACTATTGGTTAATGAATAAAGCATTGTTGGCAAATAGGAAGGCAAGATTGGCAAGACTAGGAGACAAGGAGGATTCTGGGAGATGTAGTAGGGAGGAGTCAAGAGGTTGGGACCTGAGAGAAGAGGTCCGGACCCTCTCTCTGGTAAGATAAGACTGCGTGGAAACAGATTGATAGAGATGGTTAATATTTAAGACAGAGCTAGCCAATAAGAAACACTAGTAACAGGCCAACAGCTTTATCTAACACAGCATCTCTGTGTGTTATTTGGGGCTGACGTGGCTGTGGGACCAGGCTGGCGGGAAAACTGCTCGTAACATAAGGTATCTAACATAGTCCAGCTGAGAAGTAAAAAGCAGAATGATGGCTCTGGTTTCAGTTTTTCCAGAGTACATTCTGGGGACCGGATGCACTGCAGCAATGTGTGCTCGGGAAGAAACGCATCAAAATGAGATAAGCGTGTATGGGTTCCACAAGGAAAGCAGACAGCCATGATGGAGCGCAGAAGGGAAATGCAGATTGGGAAAGGCCCTTTACATAAACACAGCGGACTCAACACAGTCACCAACATGAAAGACGGCAGAAGAGTATAACCAGCCTCTGGAAAAGAGCAAGCAGGCACATAAACAGCAATAAAAAGGCAGAGTGGCTCAACTTCAGCCCGCAGAAGCCACGCCCCGCCCCGCCCCCACAGCCCCGCCCGCCCCGCCCTGCCCCCACTCACTCCGGGCTCGGCCTCTCCCAGCAGCCTTCATCTGGGTGCATGTCCTCAACTGTTTCTTCGCTGGTTGTTTTTTTTTTTTTTTTTTTTTTTTTTTTCTCCCACCTCTTTTCTTTTAAAAAGAAAATCAGAGTATCTCTAAATCGAGAGACACTAGCGTATAAGGCTGAAGCATCTGCCCAGAAACTGAGCCAAGGATGGATCTAGAGGTTGGCTGAGCAGCAGAGGCTGCATCGGACACTTTGGTTTGGTGGGCAATTAGGTTCCCATGTAGAGGGTAAAGAGCAAATTTTCAGCATCTTACAGGAACCCACACCAGTTGGGTAGCTGAGGTTCCTCACTGTCCGCTAAAGAACCGGTACCAGCGGCACGCACTGTCATTAAGAGTTGTAGATTCTGGAGGCGAAGAGCATTGCACTCAGAACACTAAGCCTAACTAAAACACAAAGAAACAAACGAAGGAAGAAAACCTTTTAAGGAAGATCATTCATCAGTTGTGGGGGTGGGGGCAGGAAAAATGGTAGCAAAAGGAATCAAATCGAGAACAAGCAATAATGTAACACCTGTGTAGAATATTCTCTGCTCACATGGCATGAGGGCTTCTAGTCTCATTGATGAATTAAACTAAGTCAAAGTAACAGAGTGGGCGCACGTGAGTCAATGGTATACCCAGTCAAATTGGTTTGCTTACATCATAACTAATGCTAGACACAGAGATCTGCCTGTTCCTGCCTCCTGAGTGCTAGGACTAAAGGCATGTGCAACCACAGACTGCATAAAAAAATCTATAAAATCAATAAAAGAAAAAAATTCATAAAAAACTTAAAAATAAAAATCAATAAAATAAAGTAATATCAAACATGAGCCTTTTCTATAAAATACTATAAAACGTGCATCTAAGACAACGAGTAAAACCTGTGTCTCCCCATTGTGTGGGTGTTTTAATCCCCGCCTCACATTGCTCTGTTCTAGGAATTTGATGGCCTGCAGCAGGGACCCTTTCTCCCGGGGCAGGGACCCTTTTCCTGTCCATTTACTGTGTTCCAGTTCTTTTCAGACTAGCCAGTTGAACAGACTGTGAGGTTGGGCCCCAACCAATGAGAATCCCACAGCCGCTGCCTCACTAAACACCAAAAGCACGTCCTGCCTCAGTGTGTGCTTTTTCCAGAGCGCCGGCTCTTGATCAGAAGTTTGCCTGTCCCGACGCTCCAGCAGGAATGGTGGTCGCTTTCTCCGTGGCCCTGAGCTCATTTCTGATAAGCATGCGGTAACTGATATCAGGGCAGGACTGTGAATGTAGGCAGCCTAGCTCTGAGGAGAGATGCCTCAGGGGTTAAGAGAGCTTGCTGCTCTCCTAGAGGATCCAGGTTCAGTTCCAGCACCCACCTGACCAGGCTGATAATCTTCCATAGCTCTAGTTCCTGAGGAGTTCACACCCTCTTCTGACCTCCAAGGGCACTAGGCACACACATGGCAGACACACTAACGTACATGCCGGCATAGTACCTACACACATACAATAAAAATAAAGCAATCTTTAAAAAGTATTTGTTTTGAGCAGATCTATGTCGGCTTGAGTGGTTCAGCACTCAAGAATAGCTTGAAGTAAAATGAGCATTTGAAAATAATTGATGTATAAATGAGTATTCATTTAGAGACTGTTCATGCAGCCCATCTAAGTGTGCCCATCAGTTACTTGGTAAAGAATGCCTCCGAGGCCTCACCTTGGTCCATAGAAACAAAAATGTATACTTCTAATGAATTCTTCACGTGAGCCTAATGCAAA